TAAATATCTTTTTGTTAATAACTTAATATTTTATAATAATATAAGTGTTTTTTAAACTTTAATGCTGCCAAATTGATGGTTTATCCCATTCTTGGTGAATTTTTAAAGGTGAAAACAGAAATTTAAATCCGGCCGGATTCTCTCCAAATCCGGCCGGATGCAGGAAAATTCGTTAAATCCGGCCGGAATTCCGGCCGGATTTGAAATCCGGTGCACCCCTATTGAACAATCTCCATTGTAAAGTGTAATCTAGGCAGACCCAAGCTTATCTGATATTGGGGAGCCAGATTTTGTATGGGTGTGCATCCTTTATTACCAGTGCAAATCAGGGTTGGTAAGTTAGATGAATAATTAGGCCAAATCGTCATTAGTGCCGTTTAGAAAACAAAGAAAACAAAAGGCCTAGTGTGACGGTGTTAAATGGCCTATTAAGCCCCGTTTACACTACGCTCAATTTTTGGTACGGCACGGATAAAATTGGTACCTGTACCACTTTTTTGGTTCTTGGACTACCTATTTAGCTAAGCCCCGTTTACACTACGCTCAATTTTTGGTACCGTACCACTTTTTGGTTCTTGGACTACCTAAATAGGTAGTCCAAGAACCAAAAAAGTGGTACGGGTACCAATTTTATCCGTGCCGTACCAAAAATTGAGCGAAGTGTAAACGGGGCTTTATTCAACAAACCTACCAACCCTGGTGCAAATTGTGTCAGATAATGCAATGTATTAAAAATAACATGTATTCATTTAAAGCCGTTCTACACAAAATGTTTGTCAAATACTTTACAGTACGATTGTAATTCTGGCATACATGAAGCTTTATCAAACCAATTTTAAGTAAATGAATATACTTCCACAAAAAATAGCGGATATATTAAAAATATAGGTATATACTGTAATAAACCATCCTTAGTCACCTCGGAGTTACTGATGACATCTAAACTTGATGAAGACGTTAAGTCAATTTCTTTCTCTTTTAAACTGTCAGGATCAACAATCACTGGAGTCTAGAATATTTAAATCAAACTTTATAAACACGTACTGTAGTTGGGATATTTAATTAGTGCAACAATTTCAATATACTGTAACAAATTATTGTAACAAATTAGTGTTACAGCTTGCAAGTGCAATTCTGAAGTCATACTTTATCTTCAATGAAGTCAACTGGTCTTTTCCAACAATCAACACTTGTCTGAAGAACGTGAGGTAAATCAATACGTCCTTCTGGATCTTCAAACGCATGCTAAACAACAAAGAAACAAATCAAACATATTTATAGACCACTCAGTAAACAACCTTCTACAAGTCATCCCAATGTTTGGACCATAAATATAAAGATTTTGGGCGTCTCGCTCGATAGGAACTACCAGGGCAGCTGGGGAAAATGCAACTATAGACCTCCAGCAGGACAAAAACTCAAACTGTAAATTTTTTATGTTTATATTTATTTAACAAAAATCTTCAACTGTCCAACAATTACTTACAAGGTTCGGGCTTTTTCCTTTCTCCTTGTCTTTTCCTTTGTGAGATATATCCTGGGGAAAATCACAACAGCTTTTGTACACATTATTATACCAAAAATATGTTTTATGCATATGCCATAATTACTTTCCAATCTGGATAGAGAGAGATAGAGCACTCAAACAAAATGTCCCTATTTTACCAGCATCATCTGTTCAATTGTTCATCTGTTCACTATTAATACCAAGTAAATAGTAATCTACAGTAAGTTACAGAACTGTATAGGGCCCTACAACCTTTTTTAGTTAACCCATTGAGTGGCAGCACTCTCCTCCTGACGAGTAAAATTATCTGGTGTTAGACAGAGTGAAATAATAAAATAGGGCACATTGCCACTTAAAGGGTTAAGGTGTTACCAGTAACGTACCCATTTTTCTGAGGCAATATCTTGATCACTCCATTCTGGCCAGATTGAAATGGGATGTTTCATTGCCTTCTGTCCTTTGTCTTTATCATTGCCACCTTGCGAAACAGATTGTCTACAAGAATCAAAGAACATGATAGAGATGTCTGCAGTCAGAGACATCTGCCTGCAGTCTGGATGATCACTATCCATCAAGTGACAGCACTGTCCCCTTCACAGATGATAAATAAAATCATCTGGCATTAGACAGAGCAAATTATAGTATGGCATTGCACAAACTACAGTAAAATCATGTGAAATACTAAAGTTGGGCACTTGCTACTTAATTGGCAGTTAGCTAAGTATTTTATTTACACTGGATAGCTATATCAGCTAGGAGCTCCTGGATAGCTTTATCAGCTAGGAGCTGGCTGCATTGCTCTATGCATGGGTTCTAACTTGTTCTCCATAGAGGTGAGGTAGGGATAATCTGTTGTTGGTAAGTAATAAACAAATGTGCATATTGCAGAAATGAAATATCCCTGTTGCTGAGGGCAAGTACACGAATCACCTGTACCACTTAGCCCCTAATATTCTATGCGCAAGTTTTTCAAGATTATTCAAACCATTGACATTAGTTAGAAATAAGTCTTGGAGAAACTAAGCAAATCAGACTTTATTAAAGGTACAGTACACATATATTTAGGAACATGCACAAATATTCTAGCTTACTAACTTATTTCTAACATACAAACAGTATTTCTCAAATACACTTCAACACTGGAATAAAGAATCATATAGAACACATACCACCATACCTACGATGTCGTGCATTGTGAAGAGGAACTGCTAGTGATGCAATCTTATGCATGATAAAAAAAAACCCAATTTGCCCAGAAATTCACTATCAATTAACCAGGTGCCAAAATCTCTAAGATTACACTTAACACCAACTTAGAACAACTCAATAAAACCTCAGTACTTGAAATATTATGATATTAGTGTCAAACAAAACAACTCAGGTTCTGTTGCTAGGATCACCATGAAATTTAACACCTTTATTTGTTTACATATAATGATGACTGGAATGCATGATAATTATATATTATGGTAATGGCTTATGTTTCAACTCCGGTTGTTCAAAAGCTGGTTAGCTCGATCAATCCTTATAGAAGGTTAACAAAACCTTCAAATCAAAACAACCTTCCCAATAGCAGCTTGTTCATAAACATGGAAATAATTTTCTAGAAATCTTGTCTGGATCTACAGAAGTTCTATTTTCTGAAGTTTTGAAATACACAGACATGGAGAAATAGACAAAACGTAAGGTTTAAAATGTAATACATTTTAACCTCAGGTTAGTGCTAATCCAGTTTTGTACAACTGGCCCCTGACCTCACTAATGTGTGAAACTGTTTGATATTGTGTGAAACTGCTTGATATTGTGAGAAAGTTCAATATTGTACATGGGATTAATGATAAGCACCTCAAGAATAAACTACCAACTGTTTTGACATTTTGATATATTATTTACCAAGAGTGTATGCTAATATTGAAAACTGCAATTAAAAATAAGCTCAAAATCCCATTAAATATATTGGCCTAATTTATTTTAGGGATAATCATGCCTGAAGAGTTAAAATGTATCATCTATGCTGCTCAGTGAAAACACAAACTATCCAGATGAACAATGCTAGAACTATAGCATTCTGGAAACAGACTGGGTTCTGGAAACACACATGCAAAGTTGGTATGGTGCATATATATTTATACTATAACGAATTTTCAAATTTTCCAGTCAGGCAGATATGTACGAACAATGAATTTTTAAACAGTCAATACATAGTTTTGCACAATTCAGATACTATCTATTACTGCAACTATATCTAGCTTAATTGAAACACAAATTGCTGAAATTGCTTTTCTGTTTTTTACACTTGAACCCTTTATATAACAGACAACTTTGGGACCTCTTAATCATTTTAAATAAGGAATGAAGACAACAGCTATATGAATATGATTTACCAGAGATAAATAGCCTGAACACTTTCTAGTATAAACAATGACTGGTTTACTAAACATTAATGAACTTACTTCGTTTTTGGCCGAGATGAAGTTGAACGGGATCTCAAACGCGACATATTGTATTTACAAACAACCTTTCAACACTCAATTTTTTTACCTCCACATTCAAAATATATTGTCTAAATTTCACAATAACATTTGCACTTGAAAGTCCAAAGTTCTGACACTAAATACAAGCCATTAATAGCAGAGCGAAGATCAAATAATTCGCCTTTGGGCTGCTTTATTCAAATGTCTGTTTACAGAACTAATATTTTCATTATTTTGGCTAAATTTCAATAAATCATTAAATTGACAGCTCGGGTTACTTGCGCGTTTGACCTCTGTAACAAAAATTAAACGCTTTGTATTCAAAACAAAAACTTTATATTGTTACTTTTCGTCTTTCCCATGCAAATAATTTGGCAAAGTATTTTTTATATTTCGTGGCCCACAAAACTTGTCTCCTGATAATTTGGAAGAAATTATTGCATATTTTATAGATTTAATATATTTAAATTCCTAAAAGAATTGCTTTACTCCTGCAAATAAACGAAATTTATTAGACAGTTGATTAGAACCAGACGTGCATATCAGCATATGTGAAAAATTATTAATGGCGGCAAAATTTTAGTCATGGCAAATTCACTTACTCTGGCGCCGTTTTAGGAGCTGTAGACGAGGAAACTCGCTCTCTTGATTCCTTTTTCTTCGGTGTTTTTGTTGCCATCTTTGTAAAAGCTTTAAAGTGTAGATTTCTTCAAGAAAAACCTAAAAATTTTGAAATTCGTGCACATTTTGCAGACATCTTGTATTCGGACATATGTTGCCTAGGTTACCAAAACACCGGACATTTTACCCTCCCACCGGCATTTCCGAAGGGGACTTTTTCCCGCACGGAGAATCGCCCGGGGAAACCCACTGAACTATATAACATATATATGTGTATATATGTATATAGTTCACTGGGGAAACCAGGTTACACGGTACACGAAGTTGGGACCGGTCTGAAATTCGTCCTTTTTCGCCTGTTTACACGCGAACTCGTCCTGTTAGGGGGTCTCAAATTCGTCCGGTTCCGTGGTTCTCGTATGTTTACATGGTCGAAACGGACGAATTTAGTCCGGTTCCAAATTCGTCCGGTACCATGTAAACGGGGTCCAAGTTTTAGCGAAAAATGACGACACAGCACCACAGCCCGATGTGCGAGAGTTCTCAATTAAAGACACTGCACAGACAACAGTCTTTTTTAGCTAGAAATATATTTTGTATTTGTAAACTAATGTTGGTGTATGTTCTTATTTTGATCAATTAAACTTACACCAAAAAATAAAATTACACAGAAAATTTTGCACTGACATTATATTATACTTGTAAAGTACTGGCTTAATAGTATACGCACTGAGTTACTGTAAATTATGAATTGATAAAATTGCATTGGTACACACTAGGTAATATTTTATTATTAATGCCAAAAAATAATAATCTGAGCAACCATTACCGATAAGAAAACTACAAAACTATGCCTCAATTTGGCAGCGATACTAACATCATTTTTAACAGGATACTTAGCTTCTAAATAATCTAAAAGTACATCGTAAATAGAATTGCCTCGGATTCTGTTCCTACCTTTCTTTGCAATAATACGGTTACTGGTGGATATAAAATATGAGTCTGAGACAACTCTGTAAGTTTTAGACATGTTGATTGGTGTATAGCAGTTATTGGTTGGACAATGGACTTGCTTGACCTGTAGATCTTCAACACGGCGTGGCTTGCCAATCAAGTATTTTACACGCAGACCTTAAAAGAGAATTTATATGCGTGATAAAGAATATGTAACTTAGAAAAGTAGCACAACACAACGTAACAAAGCACAACACAACACAAGGCAACAAAGCACAACACAGCGCAACGCAACAGAGCGCAAACACAACACAACACAGCGCAACACAACACAACAGCACAAGAACATGTTTCATTTGCGTTATTTTCTAGTGTTCCTAACGTGTTCTAGATCCAAGTTAGAACGTTACTGCGCAGTACTGTATCGTAATCCCACCTTGCATTTGAAGAAAACTTGTGGCTTCCAAGCTACTCTTCAAGTCTGTACCAGATAATTCCACCATATCAATTGTATTGCGGTATGGAAAACTAAGAAACAAGTCTTTGTACAGAATATTACCTATAATTAAACAAATTAATTACGTCCATATTAAGTTTTCTATTCATCTGTTGCAGTCTTTTAATCGTTGACCATACTGTATTATTAAGTGGATAAATCTATCACTTCTAAACTGTTCTTCCTGGACGTCCGGTAAGGTCACGCCTTATTGGTCCAGAATTACTACAAGAGGAAACCTAAAGTAAACTATAGTTATGCTGTACGGGTGAGGTATTAATGGACCTATTCCCTAATGAACAAAATTTTGATCAAGACAAGTCTAGACAAAAATTTATCACAGCTTGAAAGAGCATCACAAAATCAGTAATATTGCGAAGTTTCGTTGCGAAATGTTGTAAAATGCGAATAATATAGCTCTGCGAAGTTTGCCGTTTTTCAGTCATTTTGTATTACGCGCGGGAAATTGATACCTTTTTTCAAAAAGCGGTATCAATTTCCTGTGCGTAATAATATAAAATGACTGAAAAACGGCAAACTTCGCAAGGCTATATTATCCGCATTTTACAACATTTCGCAACGAAACTTTGGAATATTAGGGAGCGGTCATTATTTATGGCGGGGGGTGGCACCGAAGAGAAAAGGGTTGGGTAAACAAAATTTTGAGTAACTAAAAGGTTGGGTAAATGAAAAACAAAACAACTCAAGGGTTGGGTAATAAAAAGTTATTGTCATTTCCAAAGCATGACTCACTTAAATATTGGAGACTGAAAAGCACTGTCAACAGTCATATGTCAATACAATATGTGAATCAATCAGAGTCACTATCTTGATCATTTTCCGATTTGTTGGGAGACAAATGGTGTCTCCAAAGAAAGTGCATGTACATATAACATGAAAGTTTAGTTATCAAACTTGTGTCACAGAAGTGGTAAAGGACATGTGTGACAACTAAATGGTATTCTGTTGTAAAGGTTTTGGCCAGGGGTGGGTATTATTTTTTAATTGATACTTGAGGTTGGGTAATCAAATTTTTTGCTTTTTAATGGTTGGGTCAGCAAAATTTTTACCACGAAAAACATTTCTCTTCGGTGCCACCCCCCACCATAAATAATGACCGGTCCCTTACTAATTTTGTAATGCTCTTTCAAGCTTTGATGAAATTTTTGTCTAGACTTGTCTTGATCAAAATTTTGTTCATTAGGGAATAGGTCCATTGGGACGAAAATCCTGTTCCTCACACTGATATAAAAATACTCAAGTACTTCTAGACCAGTTCCTCATCCCAGTCATGTACGTACATTTTCTTGTAACATGTTATGTATGCGAGTGTCAGTTTAAACATTTGTGACGAATTCAATAATAATAATAATAATAATAATAATAATAATAATGCTGAATGCTTTGGATGGCTCTCGCAATTTTAAACTGTTCTTCCCAGAGGTGTAGTGATGATCAGTCAAAATCCAGGTGTTACTACAGGAAGAAAGTGTGAAATTTCTAATACCTTGTCCATCAGTTGGCAAAGTTCTAAGATTACTACCATGGAAAAGTGATATACTGGCATTATAAGATCGAAAATGATACACCATAGCAGATGTGATTAGTTCACCAAGAAAACACGGTTCAGTATCACAGTTCATTGCAGTAAGCTGTACTTTTACTTGGCCAATCTTCTCCTACAAATCATATAATTATACAAATTAGAAAAATAAAAAAAAAATTAAAAAAGAATTAAGATGTTTATACAAAAGGTTTTGATCAACTTGTACCCAGAGTCTTCCCCAAAAGGAAAGAGCCTGGGTACAAGATTGGGTTTTAATCACAGAGTAGTAAATCATTCACGTCTGTTTTCACCTCTAGAGCAGGGTTTAATTCCTAAAATACGCACTTGCCAGACCATTTGCTCGTCAAGAGGAGAGAGCTACCACTCAATGGGTTAATCTGCCCATACATTCTGTTAGCCCCTTGAGCTCCAGCACTCTCTCCTTGATGTGTAAAATCATCTGGCATTAGACAGAGTAGCCTGCATCACAGACACTTGTGAGCAGAAATGAGGGCCAGACATTACACACTCAGATTATGTCGTAGTCTACAGACAAAGTCAAATAACAAAGTTGCGGGCATTGGGGCACAATGAAACTTTATGAGTTAACATACATTTCCTCTTTCATCAACCAGTTTTTTCATCTTTTTGACAATACCATAGACATGCTGATCCTTCGCCACTGCAGAGTTCAATAAGACAGGATTTCCAGACCAACCTGTCACTTCTCCCAAATCATTGAACATGACTTGGAGCTTCCCTAAATACTTGGTGTAATAGTATGCCTGGACAACTGGAACACTGAGGGACATGTTATGATCTGGATGGACAATATAGGGGTAGGGTCCTTTGCGTTTGTCATCTGAAGGTGGCTTACCTGCAGTAATTGAAAAGAATAAGCAATTACCAAATTCATTATGGTAATCCAAGTTTGTCCAGAGTCCAGTAACCATTGAATTAGTGAACTCACCAGAATAAAGAAAAGTATTAGAATGTCCACCCACAACAACATCTACTCCAACAACTTTCTTAGCAATTTTTGTATCGACATTATAGCCAGCATGTCCAACAGCTATAATTTTGTTTATTCCCTTCGATTCCAATTCTTTGACAGCATTCTGCACCGAGGTGATTATTGGGAGAAACTTAATATTCTCACCTGGATTTGATGTCCTAAAGTATATATTGCAGCAATGATGAAGACTTTATGATCTTATTCAGTATTAGTACTAAGAAGCTAAACATTAGAAAAGTCATGGGCTGATGGGGGGGGGGGATTTTCAGCTTCATGCAAGAATTTTTGTTTGGCAAAACAGACTTGTAGCAATGCTGTTCCAACAACTTGTTAACAGGATGTGTTCCCACTGCTTGTTCCCAGCTTGTTGACAAGTTGTCAATGACTTGTTGACAACTTGCTACAAGGTTGTTGAGCTGTTACAAGTTGTTCCAAGAACTTGTTATTGTCCTGCAATTCAACAAGTTGTGAATGACAACCTTGTAGCAATTTGATAAAATAACACCATTGTTACAACTTGTTGACAAACTTGCTACACAAGCCTGTGGCAAACACATCTTGTTGACAAGTTGTCAATGACTTGTTGACAACTTGCTACAAGGTTGTTGAGCTGTTACAAGTTGTTCCAAGAACTTGTTATTGTCCTGCAATTCAACAAGTTGCGAGTGACAACCTTGTAGCAATTTGATAAAATAACACCATTGTTACAACTTGTTGACAAACATGCTACACAAGCCTGTGGCAAACACATCTTGTTGACAAGTTGTGAGATTTTTGCAGAAATACTTGTATGAATAATTTTATACCTGGATGTTTGAGGCAAAATATAACCAACAAAGCCAATTTTCTCTCCATTCACGTCAACAATCACAGTAGTTCTGACAAGTTGCGTGGCATCTGGCCATAGAGGTTCTTTGCTTGTATCCATGTTCGAGACAACCACAGGACATTTGATTTCTTCAAGAAAACCAAGTAGAGTTTTCACACCATAGTCAAAATCATGATTTCCCAAAGTCTGGAGAAAGGAAATGAGAATGAAAATCATTTGGTGTTTGACACAGTAAAAGTAAAACAACAGATAGCATCAGGGCATATTGCAACTTAATATGTTTAATATATTTTATACTCACAATGGCAGTATAATTGAGTTCATTGAAAAACACCTTTGATGCATTCCCTTTGTAAACCTCGCTCCAGATTGTTCCAGTGAATCTATCCGCGCCATCAACAAAAACGACATTTTCATCTTTGTTCCTAACTTCTTTCACAGCTGTCGCTATTCTAGCAACCCCGCCAAAACATGCTTCCTTGTTTGAGTGACATGTAAAGCCACGTTTATCTGTCTCCTCAAATCTACCATGTATATCGTTTGTGTGGAGAATTGTCAGGTTAAAACAGAGAGCAATTGATACTTGGAGGCAAAATAAGATGAAAATTTCACGAATATAGCTAGCGCGTCCACCCATTTTCGATTCATTAGCATTTTCTCCACAGAGCAATCCAGATATTTTGACATTTTTAAGGTCAGTGCGGAGCTTCCACTTCCACTGAATATTTTCCTTTTAAACCCCTTTTTCAATTTTTCCTCGAATTTTTCATTATTTTTCAAATATTCCTTTTATAATAAACATCCAGTAACTTTTTTCTTTCAAACTTTTATCATTTAGTTTAGTACCATTTACATTACACTATTGCTCTTTGGTACTGTAGTCTGTAGTTTTTATAAACAAAAACGCAAATAAATAAAACGGGTCAGTATATGAAAATAACATGAAGTATACATTGTAAGAACAAAATGGAGGCCAAAGACGTTCTTGTTTGGACTCCCGAATTGGAAGTGAGTCTTTTCCATTCAATGAAAGGACACAAACCAATAGGTAAAGATAAATATAACATGCTTTTTAAATCTATAATATATACGTGCTTCCTTTTGTATTGTCTCAAATTCTGTTTATGTAGCGTACATATACTCTAGAATCGAGATTTTCTGATTTTGTTTATATATTCATAAAATATTTTAATTTATATTTCTACTTACTAGTTTGGGTAATGTTTGCGTGAAATTCACTATGCTTTCTCAAATTTTCAATGTAGAATCATTGTAATGCCACATGTTCTAGAAAATATGAGAAAATAAAATATTAAAAATTTGTAGTATTTATTGTTGACATTTTGGCTTGTTCTGATTGGCTGAAACGTAAAAACGCGAACCATAAAGGTTCGGCTGAGAGAGGGCTGTACATTTTTAGGAGGGTGCATCCCACCATTAACATCTTAACATTTGAATATGCACTGCTTGATGCTGACTTTAGGATTTCTGGTAGCTCAATACACCATTTCCAAATTGTGCTCCAATTGTTGAGAACAAAAATACCAAGTCAGGGCTAATATATTTATACGTTACTGTGCATTCCATTTTAGTGGATTAAATTTAATATTCACCCTCTACTAGGTATTAACAGACATTTTCATATGGCTTGTATTCATGATAAGTTTACAACATCAACTGGTAAAAGAAATATCTCCTCTGAGCAATTGTGGCAACATTTGAAAGAGCTTTACAATCTTCCTGCTTTGGTAAGTACTGATAATTGTAATCTAATTTAACCTCATATCGACAGAGTAAAATAACAAATTAGAGAGCATTAGAGCACATTGCAGCATAATAGATTAATTAACAAAAGACGATTTAGGCAGATTGTTTGGTTGACTCATTACCCAACACTTTCCTGTGAAGAGTAATATTATCTGGCATTTGACAGAGTGGGAAAACAAAATAAGTTGCATTGTGGTGCGCTGGAAATTCTCAGTTTAATTATGATCATTTTGAAATTATTCCTATGTGATTAGTCGATTTATTTTCAGAATGAAGCTGAAACTATTCCATTTCCAAATGAAGAAAATGAATTTAATTTACCAGATGAAATATTTGAACCACCAGGACAAGGTGGCTCTGATTACAATGATGATGGTTAGTGGAATTCTGGAAATTTACTAGTTTCTCAGATTAATTCTGGAAATTTACTAGTTTCTCAGATTAATTCTGGAAATTTACTAGTTTCTCAGATTAATTCTGGAAACTAGTTTCTCAGATTAATTCTGGAAATTTACTAGTTTCTCAGATTAATTCTGGAAATTTACTAGTTTCTCAGATTAATTCTGGAAATTTACTAGTTTCTCAGATTAATTCTGGAAGTTTACTAGTTTCTCAGATTAATTCTGGAAATTTACTAGTTTCTCAGATTAATTCTGGAAATTTACTAGTTTCTCAGATTAATTCTGGAAATTTACTAGTTTCTCAGATTAATTCTGGAAATTTACTAGTTTCTCAGATTAATTCTGGAAATTTACTAGTTTCTCAGATTTGGATGAGGTGTGCAGATCCAAGGCGATCATTATCCCAAGTATGAGAGTTATCCTAAGTCATTAGCAAGTATAAACAAGCATTAGTCAAATTTATCAAACTGTAAGTGGGTACAAATTCATCTGGTACTGTATCATTACATTTTTAATATATATTTCCTCCAGAACCTCCAGGATCCAGTTCAGGTCTTAAACTGAAACTTCAATCAGTGACCGCCTCAGGATCTCGACCTACCACACCTGACACTTCACCCAAACGAAAACGAACCAGAGGCGCCAACACATCTCAACCACCGTCACCTCATTCAACACCAACAACGACAAAACGTAGACGGTGATTTTAGATCAAGATTTTTATTTTTGACACTAGTATTATTATTGTATATATTTTGTGTATATATGTGAACATTATATAGTAATCAACTTCTAATATAAAGTACAAGTGCAATTACAATAGGTATATTTGTAAAGCAGAGGTGGAAAAAGTATTGGAACTTGGGAACCTTGTTCCAAGAAATTTTCTAGATCTTAATTTTTGCAGAAAATTTCATAGAATCCTTAAGATATGACAATTAACTGCAAAATAAACAATTCTACTGCAAAATCGGATCTTAGACTTAGTTGCATTTATTTAGTTGCACTTCCAATCTTTCTGAGGGTCTCAATATTCAACATTTTCTTTCAGACACTTTCTCCAGAATCCCAAGTATGTTTAACCAATATCTGTGGTTTAACCCTGACCTCCATTGTGCGAACAATTTCTTTTGAAATGTACTGATGTAGTTGAATGTACTGATGAAAAAACAACACAGAAATTTTTTAGTCTTAAATCCAGGTTCCCAGAAAGAAAAAATTTTTTCCACCTCTGGACTGTAAAGATTGTAATGGTTTGATTTATGCTATTTAAGACAGATCATCTATCTGGCCACGGTTAATAGTCTAGGTCTATTAACCGTGATCTGGTGGATTGTAAAGTGTTAAAAGACGAATTATCAAGACCACCATTGTAGTATTGTGTGTTCAATATACTGCAATGGTTGGGGGAACAAATCTCAGTATATTTTTCTTCATAATCTACCTATTTGGCTGTATTTATTGTACATATATAGACGGATTACGAATGTTAGGGTAAGCACAACACGAACTATCCAGAGAAATTAGCTAGGACAGCGCAATTTTACTTTTCTTTGCCAAAGTTCCCCCAGACAAATCAATCGTCTGTAGTATTAATCAAAACAATGATATATTTGTGCTTGTGAAAATATGAACGTCTAATCTACGAGTCCCAGTGTATTGAACTGTACATAAACGAACATACAGAATATATGACCAGTATATGTGAAAAGCTTTCAAAATTTAGAGTATTGTACTGTACATAAATCATAGAACTAATAGATATCTATTATTTCTATGACATAAATGAACATACAGAATATACGAGTAGTATATGTGCAAAGTTTTCAAAATTTAGTGTATTGTACTGTTACGTACATAAATCATAGAACTAATAGATATCTATTATTTCTATGACATAAATAAACATACAGAATATATGACCAATATATGTGCAAAGTTTTCAAAATTTAGTGTATTGTACTGTACATAAATCATAGAACTAATAGATATTTATTATTTCTATGACATAATAAACATACAGAATATACGAGTAGTATATGTGAAAAGTTTTCAAAATTTAGAGTATTGTACTGTACATAAATCATAGAACTAATAGATATCTATTATTTCTATGACATAAATAAACATACAGAATATACGAGTAGTATATGTGCAAAGTTTTTAAAATGATAGCTTCCAAATACAGCCACAGCTTTGTTTTAATGTGGTCATCAAACGAATCTAATCGTCAAAGCCAGCCAGTGCGCCAATATTACAAGCACTTCCAAATGCCGTTTGATTACAATAGGTTGGAATAACCAGATTAGGAATTCGGATGTTCTGATATGGTGACACCATGCGTTGGTTACACGTGCCATTTTCGTACTCCGTCTCACCTATGCCAATCAACTTCACCGGGACCGTCGTGCCAAAATAGACGTTATCCCTAAACACGTGATGCTCCTCCTTGTTACCGTTAGAGACGTGAATTCCTATTGGTGGAGACGTGAGATTCAAATTCTGCATTTCAAATATATTGTGACAAAAGTTAATATTCGTATCTGTTCCGTTCCAATGAGGTTCGTAATAGCTGATGCCTGACCCCCAGCCACCGACATTGGTCAGTTCGACCAGATGGTTACCATATACATACACATTCGACAGACCTTGATGTAGAGGGTCAGAAATGATCTCAATGTGTGTGTACAACAGTATACCTGTGTCGACCAAATAATTCCGAGCTATCACCAGGTTTTCTCCGTTCCTCATTTTCAATCCTCCCCACTGTGTGCCTGGCCAGCCGCGGGCATAGTTCCCTAAAACGTACAGGCCGTCGAAGCCTTTCAGGTAAATCACGTGATCAATGAAACCTGGCTTATACGGGCTACCGTTAAAGATATTTCCCTTTATGGTAAGACTGTCGTCACGGTTTCCATATAAGGCAGCTTGGAAGTGGCCCTGGTCTGATTTGATGTTGTAGTGTACCTTGATGAAGCGAAGTTTCTCAATTAGCCTGTCCCATGTGTTGATACCGTGATACTGACTAGCTAGCCACGCTAAATTGTTGAAATCAAGGCCGATAATACTACTCTCCACTCGTACATGTTTTGTCTTATAAAAGGATAACCCGACACCATGCATTGCCTCGGATCGCAATATAACCACGTCGCTTATAACACCATTCGCGACTCTTTGCCATTCTACGGTTGCGTGCTTAGAAATAGGGAGTAAGGGTTTACGACTGTTAAAAAACACACAATTGGCCAAACGAAAGTTATACTTATATCTCTTGCTGTCAAAATAAAGCATGATCCCGTCAAAATATATACGAGTGATTGTTAGACCTGTTAAGCCATGCTTTTTGTTTCCGATGTATATCTGGAGGATTTTTGTGCGAGGGGTCTTGAAAACCGTCATCCCTCGAGCAGAGCCTTGAATACCGACAGACGCATTGATCCAAATGTGTTGACTGAGTACGTATTCTCCAGATGGGAAGAAGGCGATTTTCTGCTCAAGCCAAGCCCTGTCGATGAATCGTTGTGTTGCGCGCCAGTCGTCTGTGACGCCGTCACCAAGCACGCCAAAATCTCTTGCGTTTAAGGAGTTTGGAATTGGCGCGTCGTTCTCCTTTAGGAAGTTGCTAACTGAAAGAATACAAGATCAGGTTGAGGTTGATTCAGTTACACAACACAACTTTTGTCTAAAACTGTCACATGCAACCTGCTTACAACTTGAGTTGTACTGTGTAAATCAAGCATACAATTCGCCTACATTGTCACAGGTGAGTTGTGTGCTTGATTTATACAGTACAACTCAAGTTGTACATACACACATAACATAATAGTTTATTCACCAAATATATAATTATTTCCAAAAAGTATATACATATATTTGGATGGTGCTCAGCAAAAAAAAACCCAAGGAGCTTGTAAAACGCTAAACACCATGGTGGCATATAGATGTTATAAATAGTTAGAGGTCGCGGTTTTGGCATTGTTACGAGATAGATGAATAGAGCAAAAGATTGAGATTAAGAAACAAATTCAGAATATTACAATATATATAACTCAGTTAAATTAACCTTTAGCTATTTGCCTCCATGAGGAAATTTCTCAGTTTGAATTGAAAGGAACTGGGTGAATGAGACTGAGTAATAGAATTATTGAGGGAATTCCAGAGAATTGAGCCACTATGCTTAAGAGTTAGCTTTCTAGTAGTAGTTCGCACCTTCTTTATATGAATCTTAGCAGCGTTTCGAGTATTATAGTGATGAACATCTTTATTATAAGAAAAATATTGGAGAAACTGAGATGGTAAGGAAAAGGATTGATTAAGGCATTTGAACATGAAACATCCAATTTGATATTGGTTAAGTTGGTATACATTTAATAATTTAAGCAAAGAAAATAGCAGGTTGCATGCGACAGTTTTAGGCAAAAGTTGTGCAGTATAAATCCGCCTTTAAGTACAATTTCCAATCAATTATCCACATATAACTTTAGAGATATAAGCTTGATATGTATCTATATGCACTAAAATCATATATCAACACAAGCTATCACAACATATACAGGAATGCAGTCCTTAAAAAAACATGGAAGACCATGCTCGTCCCCTGTGACTTACTGGGCAGCTCAGCAGAAACCATGGCTTCCAAAACAACCAAAACAATCAGCATCACGGAAAGCGTCCTGAAACCTTGGAGGAACAGCATTTTTTCTTCACTCTATTCCACAAAACAATATTAAAATATGCATAATTTATTACAAACACTGTAAATTTGATGACAGAATGACTTTTGGTCAAATTTACATATATATAAGGCATTACCTGAAAATCTTGGCTGTCCTATGTCTTATATCTTAGGAAATCTTTAGTCTTTAGATGTCTCACATTCTCAGCTCGTGGACGGCTTAAATATAGGTACGAGATGGGTGTTAAACAATACACTCCTATAATGGCTAATAATTGTATATGTATTCGTTTCTTTGTTTTTACTAATATATTGTATAAGTATTGATATTAAATATATTTATTGCCAATATCTCTTAATGAAGCTTATCACAAAATACAATGAAATAGAATTAATTTGATAAATTGATAAAGATTGCATATATTTGTTATAATAACTGATATATACGTATACTGCTGTCCAGAAGATCTTTCGGCATGTATCCATTACGTGCCAATACACACATCACTTTATATGAAATTTCCAAAAACTCAGAAGATAATAATTATGTATGACTGTATGCAACAATTAAGTTTTTGTTAAACATTCTTAATTGGCAATATTAATGTTGATATTAATAACTGCTTTTTTAATTCTTAATAATATATACCATCAAAATTTCTGATTATATTAATTTCAACAAAAGGTCGAAATTAAATCAATTATTTTTACTCTTTCTTTGATTCAAGAAAATTATTCCGCCTTCATTTTAAGCAAAACATATCCAATAAAGATCGTTTATTTATAATCTTATTACATAACCGTTATTTGCGAGGTATACAATAAATATATTTAAATTTACAATAAATATAAATAAAATTATTAAATTATATATATGAAAACACCTTATGATTAATCCTTTTAAAGAATATATATAATATTAAGTAATTTTTTTAATCGTTCTAAAAATGCCTGAAAAGCTATATATACGGATATGCAGCTCACAATTAATAAAAATAAACTTTAATTTATGAATACTAACGTTTAATCTGTGTTATAGCAATGTACGGAAAACGTTAGAAAGTTTGACAGCTTTAGGTTGTATAAAAAAGTGATTAAAGTTAACTATAGTTAAGTGGAAACGTCATCCAATAAGAAACGCGTATTTGAGAGTTAATCACTATTTAACTACAAAATAATGATTAAAAAAGTGATTAAGAGTTTTATACAACTCGGCCCCTGGTGGATAGCGCTATACGGTCTTCGTACCACGTTCGTCTAGACGGAAAGTTCGTCTCTATAACATACAAATCTGGCCATTATTGTGAAACATACATGTTGCGTGTACGATCAGTGAGGTTGACTGGTTGAGTTAACTTTATAATGCAATGTGATTACTACACTATAGCAAAACCTACATCAACAGAATCTGTAGAACTGCAAATAAATATACATTGGACTTTACCTGGGAAGACTTCTTGTTGAACTTCAATGAAAGAGTAAAATATCCTCCACAAATTCTTCGGTTTATTCTCATAGTGAAAACTCACGTTAACAGGGTGTGTATGAAAAGTAAGTTCGGAACCTGTCTTGTTTACTATTCAAAATCAAAACAAACGATCTCACAGCATGCTGAGCTGGCATTAGCAGTACATAAACAACAGCAAGCTACTCGCAGCAAAAATTGCAAGTGTAAACAGTCCTTTGGAGTTCTGAGTGCATATTCCTATTACTTTGCTGTTTGTTTGGCTGTCTGCTTTGCTTTGCCGTTGCGGCTTTATTCGCTTTTCGCGGGAATAAATTCCGCGAACACTTGGTAACCAAGCCTCCACGAATTGTCGCGTAACCAATGTCAACAAACAATATGGCCAAAATGGGTTTCTTGTTCGATTTGGTCAGCAAAGACAAGCTTTTTCAAAAACTTTTCAACGATGCAGACCAAAAAAACACTGGAGAACTTGATGGCGAACAACTTCAAGCGGTTCATGCGTCAATACGGCCGGGAGGAATCAGCATTCGGCAAACCGAGGCATCAATTTCCGAAATATGTGCCGCCGAAACTTGCGATATTTATGAATTTTTCGACGTTTTAAACGAAATGGATCGACGTTATTTTCTTGTAAAGGACCTACAATGGGAGTTCGCTATGTTAGATGGAAAACAGTGTGGTACTATAAGCGAAAAAGATGCTAGATTTCTATTTCAAGCTGTATACGATGAATTTTTTTCACATAGACGATGGTTAGAGTTTCTCAAAGCTCGTCGTGTGCCGGGAAGCGGGATTAGTTTTGCTGAGATCGAGGTTGAACTGTGTAATATTCCTTCAGCTGAATGGCTTGAGCAAGATGCCAAGGAGGAAGAGAGAGAACGTGGAGGTACACACCCCTACCCACCTCATATAGAACCCTACCTTCATGGCCCACTGGGGGTGGGGTGTTGCCCCCCCCCCCTCTATTGCCCACAAACACTTATCGAGGATGCAACCCTCTACCAGTTGTGGCATTGTCCAACCTCCTGAAAACCTACTCGCCCCCCCCCTCTCCGCTCAGATAGGGCGAGGCCTGCCTCTAATACTCAATATTGTAGGCTTCTGGTGATATAATTTTTAGGGGGTAACAATTGGGTTAAACATTCAATTTAGAACTGGTGAAAGCTCAGCAAGCTAAGCTTCATGAAGAAGAAGGAAAACTTAAAAAGGCACATGAATTGAAACAAAAAGGTGAGTAAATGTAGTGATAGTCCAACTCACAATATGATCAAGTCACTTACAGAGAACTTTCATTGTAGAGAAAGAAGCAGAGGAGAATCGCTTGAGAAAGGAGAAAGAAAAGAATGACTTTAGAAAGAAACAACTGAAAGAAAAAGAAGATGAGAAAATTAAGAAAGAAAAAAGTATGTAGTGATTTTGTAATGATTTTGTCCTTCAGTTTATTAGTGTTCTTGAAATGTTGTGTTCTACTGTTATTACAAAACAAGTTTCTTACTTATTATTCTATTTGGGCTTTTTTAGAAAAAGCAAAAGAGGAAGGTTAGTACATTTAATTTTGATCTTTATGAATGAGAAACAAAATCATGATCTCTGAGGGTGAAATGCAGTTGCTATGGTGGCCAGCAAAGACCCTGAATCAATATTCCACAACTCTCTGTCAAATGTTATGCCCAAATTACATGCATCCATCCAGAATTAAAGGCCAATCTGAGAACCTAGGGTAAATCCACACACCATCAAATGATTATTTTCCAACCCGACATTTCAACTTTCCAGAAAGACGACGGAAAGAGGAAGCTGCACGCAAAAAGGAAGAGGAAGCTCGTCTGAGAGCAGAAGAAAACATGATGCATCGAGAAGAAGAGATGGAGAGACAAATGGCAGAAGAATTAAGAAAGAGAGAAGAACAGGAAGCAAGTCAGAAATGGAAGAAAGAAGAATTGTTACGTCAGCAGGAGGAAGACCAAGAAAGACTAGAGAGAGGTACACATCATCACAAAATATGACAGTTTGTACGATACAGGACAACACTTGACGACACTTTCTCACATGCAACTGAGGTGAAATTCTGGTCAGATAAATGCATATTGCAAGAATCAAATCGCTGTTGCAGTGGCAGAAAGTACACACACTAATGACTGTGTTGTCATGCACTAATGACTGTGTTGCCATGCACTAATGACTGTGTTGCCATCCATTAATGACTGTGTTGCCATGGACAAACAACTGTGTCACTATGCACTAATGACTGTGTTGCCATCCACTAATGACTGTGTTGCCATGCACTGTATTTCATAGAACGAGCAGAGCGAGAATTGCTAGAGAATGCAGAAGCAGATCAAGCAGAAGAAATGGCAGATGTTGCAGCTGAAGCAGAAGAAGAAGCTGTTGAGACAGCAAGATTAGCTGCTGAAGCTGCCAAACAGGTAACAAGCTGCAGTTTCATATTTGACTTACTCAAGAAATTTGTATTTTTGTATTTTGCTGGCAGGAAGAGAAATTTCCAAGCCTGTGGTTGTCACTGACACTATCTATATCTTGTTTTTTCCAACAGGCCCAAGACGAAGAGAGTCGTAAAGCAGCACAAGAAGCAGAGAAGAAAGCCCTGGCTGAAGCTCAAGCGAACAAAGAGAGGAAACATAGAGCGTCTCTTAAAGCTGCTCAGAAATCAAGAAAGTTGGAAAAACTTGATAAGTGTATCAAACAGGCAAAAGAGGCCAAAATGCCAAGTATGTGGCCAACTTTTTTATTCTACATAGCTCTATCACAACCTCATGTTCCTGTTGTATTAGACATACACCCTCTCGCCTCGCGTTTGTAGTCTCACATATGACAGCCCCTCATACTGTATTTATCACTTGTGAAACTCATCAATAATTCATGAAGAAAGCTTGTACGAAATCATGAGCGTGAAGGTTCGTATATCTGCTACAAAATCATGCTGATTGACATAAACTTTAAGTTCAATTTTCTCAACAAATATCATTAATTTATTTTTAATTGTTGAAGAATACGAATGTTCTCATCAAGAAATTTCACAAGCCATTTACAACATTTACGTCCGTGTTTCCGCTCAAGTTTGTATATCTGATACAACACTGTCACTCATGTTATAAATAGTACTACAACCTCTCGCGTCGAGTTTGTATATCTGATACAACGTACACGGCCCCTCTTGTTGTATTTATCGCATATCTATATCATTTCAGATTTAAAGGCGCCCATAGAGGACGCGGAGAAGACTCGACATGAAGTACAACTTGGTAAGAACCTGAAAGAAGCCTGTCAGGGAAGAAACTTAGAACGCTTAGAGAAAGCTATCAAAGACGTGAAGAAAGCTGGACTGGACGAGTACTACAGCGTAGAGCTCAACGAAGCCGAGAGACTGACCAATAGACTAAGACGGCTAGAACGGATACGTCAGGAAATACTTGAGTTAAAACAAAGCACAATATCAGAAATACGAAGTTACCAGAATCCACCACCAGCCGTGCACCAGGTGATGATCGCGACGTATCTACTTTTGGAGTATAAAGAGAAACCGCTCAAAAATTGGAAAAATATTCAAGCTCTGCTAGGGAAGACGGGTAAGGAAGGGTTGAAGAGGCAAGTGACCACCTTAGATCCAGTCAAAGTCAGCGATTCTGTTGCAGATTATACGGAGACGCAGTATTTGAAACAACATCAGTTGGATACGATCAGAGATGTGAGCGCTGGAGCCGCAACGTTTTATGTCTGGGTAAGGAAAATAGATTACAGGTTTCTCAACTGTGGCTTAAGATAATAACTGTGATGAGAATTGTGAAGCGAGAGTTCGCATGAGCGTTTTCTCAACTCTCATGCCGCAGTCAAATGAGAACAAGAAAATAAATGACATGTTTCTCAACTGGGGCTTAAGATAATGACTGTGATGAGAATTGTGAAGCGAGAGTTTGCATGATAGTTTTCTCAACTTTCATGCCCCGGTCAAATGAGAACATGCACAAGAGTTGCACGAGAGTCGATATGAGAGTTGATGAGAGTTGAGAAGCGAGAGTTTGCATAAGAGTTTTCTCAACTTTCATGCCCCGGTCAAACGAAAACAAAAGTTGCATGCGAGTCGATAAGATAGCGAATATTACCGCGCGATAGCGAAAACTCTCAATAACTCTCATTTCATTAAAATTTGAACCAGTTTAAGTCAATGAGAGTTGATGGTCAGGCGTGAGCGAGAGTTACAACTCTCGTCCTTTTTGAGCGCGGCTTAACCGTTACGATATTGATTTTCAGGCAACAAACATGATCGAAGAGGCAAGAGCGTGTGTAGAACAACGAGCCAAGCTTGCGGAGGAAGAAGAAAAGCGGAAGGCGGAAGAAGCGGAGGAGCGGCGTAAAGCGCAGGAGAAGGAGAAAGAACGGCAAGACGCACGTCAACGACGACAACAGCAACGAAACTCGCAGAGACAAACACAAAGAACCAGCGTCACTGATCCAGGTAGACGTCGTTCTGGCAGCCAGGGACTGGAAGTGAGTCGTAAGACATCACGTGAGGTGAGTCCCGTGACGTCACCCGTCAGACGGAAGGAATCACACGGCGCCCGTGTTCAAGTTTCTAAGAAAGATTCTAAGTCACGTGAAGTTAGCCCGGTGACGTCACCAACTAGACGAAAGGTGTCACAAGGTCAGCGGCCTGGAGCGAGTGGAAAGGACAATGCACAAGGATTACATGTATCTAGGAAACAATCTAGATCACGTGACGTTAGCCCAGTGACGTCACAACCGTCAAGAAAAGATGGCGGGGGACAGGCAAAGGCTTAGATGGCTGATATTTATCGTATTTATTGTAGTGTGTAAACTCTCGCGCGCAGAGCAAACTAGGAAATATTGTTAACAATTGACTTTCTTACCTATGCCAAAGATGGGAAAACCAGAAAATATTGATAAACTTTCCTAGCCGTGTTTTCCAAACCATGCTTTCCTCCAAAGATAGGAAAAACAGCAAACATTGTTTGACTTTCTACCCATGCCACACAGCTGCATCGGGAACTATAAAAGGAATTTTTAAAAAATGAAAAATAGAACAATATTTCCCCCTTTCTTATCGCTCATATGTAACCACACCCAATATCGCTCATGTATTTAATTGTGTACGTATTTAATATGTAATTCACACGCCCCTCGTGGAAACCAGCTTAAAGTTGACGAGGCTAGCGTGTGACTTTTAAATAAAGTTTTACTACTACTACTGCTACTGCTACTATGATGTAACCACACCGAATATATGGGCGGTCCATGTCTAGTTTATATTAACTTTGGAAAGTGTAAGGATAGTTTGGAACGCATTGATCGTGAGTTGTAATTTTGTATTATAGCTTTGTTAAAGTTTGTAAACCCTGTCTCTATTGTTTTACAATGTCAATGTAATGCGTAGGTAGGACTTAATTTGGGACTCCTTAGTTCTGTTGTCTGTACCTTCAATCGTTTTGTTGATTGTAAAGTTTGTAAATAAATAAATAAAAAACCTACTGCCCGAGGTAAACGCGAGGTAATAAAGCTACCTCGGTCAAGAACACACGCCTGGAAAGCAGTCTATAAACTTTTTTTTACGAAAGAAAATAAATTTTAATTATATTTGAACCTATTTATATCGTATATCGTGCTGTTCATTTAATAGCCATCAAACATCTGCCTAAAACCTTAAATTAGTGAAACAGAAATCTGATAGGCTGACTGGTATGTATCAGAGCATTATTGTCCAATCATCATTAAAATACAAAATGCCACGTTGTGTATTAAACCGAAAACAAGACTTTGATTACACAAGTTTACGTTTCCATGAGAATAAGAGACAAACAGTAAAATCCCTTTAGCAAGCATACGAGGTAAGATAAGTGTAAAACTTAATAATATTTTTCATGTTATAGGATTTCAGTATTTAAATTTCCCGAATTCATAGATATTTTGATGTCAATTAAAGTTTACCGATTAAGTTATTGACTTTAAATCTTTATTTTTTCAGTCATCATCTTCGATCATAGAAAGCTAAGTAAGTGTATTATTCACATACTTTTCCAATGGGTGATTCCCGCTCTAGACTAAATTTTGAATCAAGGTATGAAGAACGAAATCCAACACCACAGCTAGGAAGAGCGTCTTAGAATGAGTAAAACTGCAAAGTTTGGTTGCTATATGTTGTAAAATGAAGAAAATATAGCCCTGTGAGGTTCCCAAATTTTGTATATATTTGTTAATACGCGCGGTAAAGATAACCACTTTCGGCTCAACTAGAATGGTTATTTTTCACGCACGTAATACAAATATATACAAAATTTGCAGGGCTATATTTTCCTCACGTCCTAGCTTGTCTAGATCAAAATTTCGTCTATATAGCTGGAATAACCATTTGAATTCTAGGGAAACATTATATTGTTATATAGATATTGAGTTTTAGTCAAACTTGGTCAATGTCGATCAATGGAACTATTTTGTAAGGCTATTTTATGTTTAATATGACTCGCTCTCGAGTATATTTTTCATATAGCAAGCAAAGGACATGTTTACACGCGAGTTTGGGCAAGTTTCACATGTCAGATTTTTTTAGACAGTATCTTTCGTCTTTTTCTGTGATAAACTGTAGTAGTGTATAGAGAATTTTTGTACGTGACAATTATTAGAAATTTAGATTTGACTTCCACTACCTCCCGCACGTTTTTGATTGGTTAATCGATTAGACTAAATGCATCTGATTGGTTACTGATAGCCTGTGGTATGACGTGATCATACATTTACATATGAAACAAACTTTATAGATTAAAATAACTCATATATAGATTAAACGTCTCTGCAAAAAGTCATTAAGATTAACTTAATGACTTGTTGTTTATGACCTATAATTATGAGAACGAAATGTGTTTTTTCTGGAATAAAAAAAGTCGTAAAATTTACATCACGTATTAGTAAGTAATTTGTTTTCACTTTTCAGTAAATAAATTGCTTCAAATACACTCGTCTGCGGAATACAAATTATACTCTTCAGCGGTAAAGAAAAGCTGATTTTCAAGGGGCAGTTTATGAATGCATTTATACATTGTATAGAAATACAAACACTTACAGTCTATTTACAACAATTTTAACAAAAGAGAATTATGTTAATTAAGTTGTCGATGTATTTCCCTCCAAGTCCTTGTAGTGATGATTTATTAAAGTTTTAAAAGAATAAAAGGAAATTAAGTTGGTCGTATACATCGACAATTTCAGCTGGAAGACTATTCCAAGATACAGCTGCGCGGTATGAAAAGCTGTTTTTCATAAAGTTTGTGTTTGGTTTGTTGAAATAAAGTTTTCGATCATTACTTCTTAATTGATACGTGTCATTATGACTGGCGACAAACAGGTCTGACAAGTAGTTTGGCGTTTCACCCCGTAATGCTGGAAATGTCATAATGTGTTCACGTTTTTCAAGAATAGTTTCAACTTTGTCCCAACCTAATTTTTCAGATATCTCTGTTGATCTTATTTCATAATTTGAACCGGTTATCACTCATGCAATTTGTCAGAGGAGCTTTTCAATATGCATGTGCACAACTATTAAAGGAATACCGAATGGTTTTCCGTGCAGGATTGCGTGATCCATGCACGAGGGATGTCGCAAGACTTTCGGAAAGCGCCGTAAAAATACTCGAGCCAAAACTATAAACCAAATCATTAAAGTAAAACTTTATTTGCACTGATAATTTCATACAGGCACTTGAATTCTATGAACTGTCTTTGCTAGTGTAGGTAGGGATATAACTACATGAAAAATATATATATTTTCATATATATTTTCAGATAATTGCATCTCTATCAACGAAAGCTTCTTCACTTGATTTCCATGCACGTTTCAAAAGGAAGTATACAGCTATTTCAATGGACCATTTGCATTATAGACTAAATCTTGATCTAGACAAAAATTTCATCACAGCTTGAAAGAGCATCACAAAATTAGTAATATTCCAAAGTTTCGTTGCGAAATGTTATAATATAGCCTTGCGAAGTTTGCAATTTTCAGTCATTTTAGATTACAAACGGGAAATTGATGCCCCAACACCCAATTGGGCTGTCAATTTCCCGTCCGTAATGATCCATTAAGGTTGTCCCCCGGCAAAGCGGAAAAGTCGAATACGAGCGCGAAAGGCCTGCTGGGAATCGCTAAAAAATTCATTAATTTTTTAGCGATTCCCAGCAGGCCTTTCGCGCTCGTATTCGACTTTTCCGCTTTGCCGGGGGGAGGGGGCAGCCTTAATTGAAATAGCTGTATACGATAGATTTACGGGTCAGTACATGCACAGCTGTTTACAAGACTTTCTCCAATTGGACGAATGTTTTGTAAAAAAACGAAGCAATTTCATTGGTCGGAACCGACAAAGCAATATTGTTTTAAAATGGAGCTCACTATTAAAAATGACAGTTCCTAAAAGCTGTAAAAAATCTAATGTTTCAGAACCACCCTCAGATACATGAAAAACTAGTTTCATATTTATTTTAGCACTGCAGCACAGAATAGAGACTACTGCAGAAGCCCGACTTCTTGCTTTTTCCTATGATTTTGGCGTAACCCAATGGCATAACCGTAATTCGTCATCAAAATGCTGACGCCATGGTCCTAGCCAGTGCGCAGAGGCCTGTGCGCTTATGAGAGACATTCACCCCCTGATAATATTCAAAATGGCGGACGTCCAGGGGGAATGCCTCTCATAAGCACACTGGTAAGAACCATGGCGTCAGCATTTTGATGACGAATCATGGCGTGGCAGCGGGTTCACGCTTTTTTGTCGGAGTCGACTTTCTGTGTGTCGACTTTCTGTGTGTGTATCGACTTTCTCTGTGACTGCATGCGGAGTACAATTTTTCGTTGTCTTGTAGAGTGTGAGAATAAATATGCATGAAACTAGTTCAGAGTAGCTATATTCTGCTAAATGGCTAAATAATTGTTTAATTAATTACACCCATGCATGAAACTAGTTCAGAGTAGCTATATTCTGCTAAATGGCTAAATAATTGTTTAATTAATTACACCTTTAAGGACATGCGCGCAAAAATGAATTTTCAATTTAGAAATTGTTTAACATTATGCTAATGTAAAATAATATTTTCTCCTATCTAGCAGACAATACTCTGATAGAATTCCTATTTACTGATAGAATTCCTATTTACATTTTCAAAAAAAATCAAAATCTTAGTTTATATACATTCTAAACAAATATTTCTTGAGAATATCAAATTCTATACAAACAATTAGGTATTTATTTAGTATTGAACGTCTGTGTCAATACAATCGTATAGTGACGATTTTGAAGTACAAATCAAACGATACTATACATATTCGCCCCATAATGCCATATTTATATGGTTTTAAGCACTCTCCAATATTATTCGAGAACCAAAACATGTTTCCATATGCAGATAAGAAAATACACTAATCACTATATATTAATTTTTCATTAACCGCCTTGATGCAGCAAATTATACAGACAATTATAGAAAGCATTTCTATTAGCAAGCTATCGATGTAGATACGGATCACATTAAAACAAAAATTAGTCTGTATGATACTTAATTTGCTTGGAAAAAAAACAGGAAATACATTCGAACTGAGCACACTATGGATCGCGACTATTAAGCAATTTTGTGTGTGAGTAACATTTTCTCTAAGGTTTTGGCTTGGTGCTCCATGCTCCAACTTGGACAGAATTGGGCCCCAAATGTGGTATACATAACAGTCACATTTTATCAAATATATATCTATACAGGCTAGACGTATAAAGGTGAGTTTAAAGTTGATCATATATATAATGTATGACTGTTATCCAGCTGCATGTGCGTTATAAAAATCTAGCTATGTCCACACTAATCCGTTTTCGTCGCGTTTTCGTTTGCTCTCTGTTCACAAGGCAATAGAGAACAATGCTCTATAAGTATACCTGGAACAATACAAAAACGCGACAAAAGAGGATTAGTGCGGACGTAGCCGCATGAGTTTGGCATCGAGAACGGCAATGGCAAAAAAAACAAAATTACTTACATTTTTGTATTCGAGCCAAAGGCAAAGCATACATTATTATAATACGTTAGAACAAGGACTTCTTTATCTTCAAAACAACCCTTAGGTATAGCATGCATTAGTCAATGAAATCACTTCAAACTTTTTAACTGCGTGATTTATAAGCCATGAAGATACTAGTTTGGACAACAATGGCGTACACTTCGCTCAAACGAATTTATAGTCGTCTTTGTCTTATAAGCCTGCAGCTAGTTTCCCATGGTCGTAAAGACAGAAGACACGATCTTTCTCAACGGCCATGCAGTTTATAATAGTTTATTAGTTTATACCTGTAAACCACACAAAGTATTCTCTAGTTATAATCACTCCGCGTATATTCAGTTCTAAAATGTTGTATTTTGGCTGATGAGAAAGATCGTGACTCAATCTTTACGACCGTTATACGACCATATGGAAACCAGACTGTATATAGTAAAAATGCAATAGTTGAAAATCATGATCACGTCTTCATTGAAATTGCTGTTGTATATTGCACTAAAGAATGATACACAGTGACTGGGCAGAAGAAAA